TTACTGGTTTTCCCACAGGGGCAGGATCTGCTGACGGAACGAGGGCACGGAGGGCAGGCCCCGGCGTGACACTCCTCCTCACAGGTGTGGTTCCCACAGGACAGGCGAGCTCCGCACACCTGAGGAGGAACAGTCAGTCAGTGAGTCAGGCTGTCTGGCTCCCCCTGCTGGCTGCAGCGGGTTCTCCTCCCTACCTGTTGACAGCTCCAGCGGGGGCTGGCGCACGGCCTCTCCGTCGCCTCCTTCCCGCACACGCACCTCTGCAGGCTGACTCTGGGGCAGGGGGGGCACTCTGGCAGACAGGGAGAGGCAGCAGGTTACTGTGGGCTGTCTGTGGGTGGAGGGGGGTGTGTGGGGGGGTGTTGGTTACCTGAGTGGCAGGTCTGGGAGCAGGTGTGCTGCTTACAGGCCAGCAGCTTCCCACAGGGCTGCTGGCAGGACCAGGCCTGTAAACACAGAGGGGTCATGGTGAGCAGGAGGAAGCCGTCAGCGTCTACCTGCCTCACTCCACCTGTTTACCTTGTTGCTACAGCGACGGGGGAGGGGCTTAGCTTGGCCACACAGGCAGGAGACTGAGACCATCTTTGGACATGGAGGACACGGACCTGGAGAGAGAGATGGGGGGGGTTAACTGGAACCATTGAGCGGGTCGGAACCGCTGCCAGAGGGGGTGTGGTTACCGGGGTGACAGAGCAGCAGGCAGGCGTGGCCACAGCTGGGTCTGAGCTCCTTCTGACAGACGGCGCCGCAGGAGTGAGGGACCAGCCAGGGGTCGGCTGGAGGGTCCTGGAGCTTCCCACAGTAGCACAGGTACCTGAACACAACACAGCACACTGATGGGAGGGTCCGGTTCTACTGGGAGGGTCCGGTTCCACTGGGAGGGTCCGGTTCTATGGGGAGGGTCCGGTTCTACGGGGAGGGTCCGGTTCCACTGGGAGGGTCCGGTTCCACTGGGAGGGTCGGGTTCCACTGGAAGGGTTTGGTTCTACTGGGAGGGTCCGGTTCTACAGGAAGGGTTTGGTTCTACTGGGAGGGTCTGGTTCTACAGGAAGAGTTTGGTTCTAATGGGAGGGTTTGGTTCTACTGGGAGGGTCTGGTTCTACAGGAAGAGTTTGGTTCTAATGGGAGGGTTTGGTTCTACTGGGAGGGTCTGGTTCTACTGGAAGAGTTTGGTTCTAA